CTAGCTAAGAGGTTATACATACAATCTTATCGACTGATCATAGCTTTAGCCATATTGTACCCACCTCAGGATTGTTCTCTGTAAAACTTTGAGAAGTGGGCTCATTGGCAACCCACTTGGGTCCTCTCCTGTCCCTCAGGAGCTGTTTCTCCTTCAATTAAAATATCCTACTCTTGACCTCTATTGTTCCTTAGAATTCATTCCTCAATGTGGGGGAACATGAACTGGGCATATCAGACATCTAGCAGGTTGAGAATTACATTTATTTCCCCTATAAAACCTGAAGGTCCTATATCAATCTAAAATGTTACTGGTTCTTTCATTTCAGCACTATGAAATGGAACTCTTTTTTTTTTTGAGACAAGTGGCTTTCTGAGGTTGAGGGCATAAACAGCTTTTCTACCTCTTGATAGCCCATATGAAAGAAGTGACAGAATACACAGATGTCAGCCCCAGGAAGCCAGGAGCCTGGTTTGTTTTTTACAAGAAAGAGGAGGATGAGCTAAAGATGGCTATCTTAGTTACTTTTCTCAAGGCTGAGACAAAATACCTGACACCCAAAGTTAAAGGAGGAAATGTTTATTGTTGCTCACAGTTTGTAGAGGTTTCGGTTCATGGTTGGCTGGCTCCAAGGCAGGGTGGCATGGCAGACAGGCATCATACAGGAGATATAGTCCATCGCAAGCAGGCAGGAGACAGAAAAGCAGCAAGAAGAAGCAAGTGACAACAGCAGCCCTCTTTCTGTCCTTTATATCCTACCCAGGGTAACTACTCTTAGGGCAGCTAGCACTTATACCCAGGGTGGGGTACCTTTAATTCTAGCATTGCACCATGAATCAATGCCAGCATCACACACTGTAGATCCAGCTACCTCCAAAAGGCCCCATTTACGACTGCTTGAGGCTTTGCGGGAATATCTAGATACATGTCATAACAATGGCTAAAAGTGATTTTAAAAAAAAGTATACAGATTGTTTTTCTGTGTTCCCCCTCCCTTCTGTTTTCTATTATAAAGGACCTTGCTCTCTTGTAAATGATGAGATGGTGATTTGAGACAAATAGACCTCTCCATCTCCTTTGAGCTAACTTTAAATTTTTTTTAATTTTTAAAATTTTTCCCAGATATATCATTATAGACAGCTAATTTAGGTAGAAATATTATAGACTGTCAGACAGTGCTTGGCCCTTGAGGGAGTCAGTGCAGAAGGTGAGAGTACATTAAAACTGTGGCTGGAGGCGCATCCGTCAAAGGCCAGGCCTCAAGATAAAGATGGAATGACCAGGCCTACCTGCCTCCCCAAGGGATAAGCAATGTACTATAACTGATATCACCTGGTCCAATAAAGTCTAGATAGACATCAGTTATCCAGGTGGGTGACCAGGACCTCTTGATCCATCCCCTTCCTAAAAAGGTCTTTGTTCTTTGCATGTATATTTGCTACATGACCTCCTTCCCCTTTGGATCAATATTACCTAAGCAGTTATACTTATAATCATATTGGTTGATCATAGTTTTGTCCCACACTGGACCCATCTCATGAATTTGTCCTATAAAACGTCCTTTGAGAAGTGGGCTTGTTGGCAACCCACTTGGGTCCCTTCCTGTTTCTCAGGAGCTATTGCTCTCAAAGTTTTCCAACCCTTAACCTCCATTGTTCCTTAGAATCCATTCTTCAATTCTGGGGACACAAACTCAGCATATATGACATCTAGCAGGTTGGGAGTTATTATTATTATTATTAATTATTATTTTGTGGTACTGAGACTCAAACCCAGGACCATACACTTGCCAGGCAGGTGCTGCACTGCTGAGCTATATCCTCAGCCCCCAAGGGAGTTCTATTATTTTCATATCAATATGATCTTCTTTGACTTGGTAAGTGGTGAACAGACAAACCTGAGAATGAGCCTGAGTGGCCAGTAGCAGTTTTGGTGACCACAGAGGGACTTTAGACCCTGCTCCTGAGAGTCATACACCCTGGTAGTTGCTTGGGAAGAAGGATTGACTGCTTGTGACTAGCTGAACCCATGGGACCTAATAATAGCAGCTGGGATCACTTTTGCACCCAAGAATCCCCTTCATTTCCTGTGCAAGGCATCAGCTAGCCAGCTGATACAATCTGTGATTACCTCTACCCCTAAACCCAAGCCCAGTCTAATAAACAAATCTCTGTCCAGGAGGTTAGTGCCTGCCTCAGGGATGTATAATAGTGACTTCTTTAATCTGCTTCAGCCGTACTTTACTCATCTTTCAAATACTGGAACTTAAAATCCCTCCCCTTAGAAGAGCAGAGCCTGAGGGAGAAGAGCAGACTGAAACCACACAAGTATAGCAGCAATACAGAGGCTACCCTCAGTCAGTGGACACTCAGAAGAGCCTGCGCTGTATCCCATCCTCCATCCCAGGAAGTCTGAGGCTGGTTCCCTAGCAACGCTATCCCCTTCCCATCTACCCACCCAGAATTGTAGTCCATCCTTCCCCCCACCCTACCTGGACTGTTCCCTGATGGTCAGAGTCTCAGAGTCTGCTGCCTGTCTTCCCCAGGAAGGGGTCCTCACTGTCCATCACACATGCTGTCATCATACAACTTTGCAGTGGATATCATGCTTCCGCTCACCTTTCTTCATCACATTAGGACCCCAACAGGAAGGAATTACTCTCTTTATTCTATAGATGAGGGAACTGAGGCTCAGAGAGTTTGGGCAATTTGCTTAAGGTCATACAGCTAGCAAATAAAGGAGCCAGAGTAGGACAAAAAAAAAAAAAAAATCCCTCCCCTTTTATCCCAGATACTAGTTAATTTTTCATTACAAAGCCTTGTGCTCTTAGGTTGGAATGTTAAGGAGGAATAGCGAGCATCTGAGTCAACCTGAAAAAGAACCTCCTCCTCTTCAGCTCCTATTCTCAGGTTTATCAAGAGCTCCTTGTGGAGCATGTTAAAAGGAACTGACCCCCTTATTCCTCATTAAATGCCATAGGGGAATCATTTCCCTTCCTTCTTTCATTCTATTTTCCCTCTTAAAGTGCCCTGGCTTCTGGGATTCTTTCCCTGAGCTCTTCCACCACTTCCCTATGTGGCTTCTCATTTCCCTTTTTTCCTTTGAGGATCCTTAATCTAGCTTTCTGACAACTTCCTCCACTGTTGAAACCATAATCCTAGTCTTTTTTTTTGTTTGACCACATCTCTTTTGAAGAAAAAGAAAAAAAAAAAAACCAAAAAACACTTTTGAGCCTCTTTCAGCAACTCCTCTATCTCTTTTTCATTCCATCCATCAGCCTTCTGTAATATCTGCCCAGCTAAGTTTCTTCATGTGCAGATGAGGATGATATTTTTCTTATGAGATTGTTATATTAGAGATAATATGTCCAGTGCCTCCTTCAGATTAAGCGTTTTTTTATTTACATAGTGATTATTAATATTTATTTATTTATTTGCTTTTTTTCAGACATGATCTTGATGATAGGTAGGCCAGGATGATCGTGGACCTGCTGTCTAGCCTAGGCTTGTCATCAGTTCTCAAATCTCCTGCCTCAGCCTGGGATTACGGGCATGTACCACCACTCCTGGCTATTAATTCTGGTTTCTTAGTATGTTACCTGTATATTGTTTTATGCTTTTGTTTACAATGATATTTTAAAAGTATTGTTGCCATTCCACTGGCCTTGATCAGTAGTAAAAATGTTTTCTCACTTAAGAATAAGATAAGAGCTGGAGGAGGGGGTGTTGGAGAGTACTGGTAGTCAAAACTTGTGGTACAGAGGGTGGAGTTGTTGATGTTTTTCTGAAGACCACAGAGTATGAGAGGAAGGTTTTAAAATGTCATTTCCTTGAGTATTACAGCTTCCTTCCTGAAAGGTTGTAGAGGAAATAGGCCTCAGGAGAGTGCCCTAAGACAGATGCCAGAACATCTCCTCTTCTGGGGATATTGATAGTGAACAAATGATGACAAAAGGCAAGAAAAAGAAATGACATTTGTTGGATACCCATGATACATACAACCCTTTGCTAGAACACATACTGTCTTTTATTTTCCAAAACCTCAAGTGCAGCAGTTCTTAACTGGGGGCAATTTTGCCCTCCAGGGAGCACATGCCAATGTCTGGAGACATTTTTGTTTTCACAATTTCAGGATACATAGGACTCTAAGAGTAGAGGCCAGGGAAGCAGTTAAATATCCTACAATGCCCAGAGCAAGTCCTCACAACAATTATTCATCTCAGAATGTCAATAATGCTGAGGTGGAGAAACTCTGCTTGTATTAACAGGCATGTTGGACTACACGTCTACAGGTCTAGAACCTAAACCTCCGAGTAGCTCTCAGCATTCAAATTTGCATTTCTAGTTCCACAACCCCTGCTCTTTCATAATACCATAGCAGTGAGACCAGTGATGGGAGGAATGACCAGCATAAAGATCCAGTGCACAAACTGGTGCTCGAGCAGTATTTATTGAACTATTCATTGCTTTAATGGATGAGTAAATGGATAAAAGAGTGAATAAAGGAGGGAAATGATAAAGATGAATGTGGTCGTTCTACTGCTGCTATGACATATCTCCTTGCTCTTGTTACACAATCCAAAAGTGAGTCAGGGAATTATGATAATAGAGAAAAAAATTAAATGATGCTGGGTGGTCTGAAGCCACTACGTTCAATTTGAGGAGGAGTCCAGATGCCAGTTTCTGGGTCTCCAAATGGAAAATGTACCAGAAGATGGCCTGTACAATCCACCTCCACTACCGTTCTAGGGAGGATGGAGACAGGTATGAAGTTCTGAATTGAGTTTGGCTGGTCATTTCCCTTTCTCCCACTTTCTCCCAAGGGCCCAGGTCAGCTGTGGCTCCAAAAGGAAAAAGAGGGAAGTTGCTTCTCAGTTTTTTCCAGTTTCTGTGGCTCAAGCTGAGCAGGAGATTCTGGGAAGCTCTGAATCTCCTAGAAGAGAACAGATGAAAGAGGGTGGAAGGGGAGGAGCCTATGATTAAATAGACCGTTTCTTTTCACTTCCTCTTTTGGACTCCAGAATTTGGCTGTTTTCTGGGTGAAGAGAAGCTGCGTCCTGTTGGAGTCAGCTTGCTGCAGAGGTGATGGGAATCCCTTCGTTCCTACCTGTCCTTGACACCAAGAGTCACCGAGCTGACTGCAAGCCCTCGCAGACTTTGGGCCATATGCTGCTGTGGATAGCTGTGTTATTCCTGGGTGAGTCAAGGACCCGGGGATGGAGGCAGGAGCAGGAATACCTGGGTTGAGGCCAATCTTGGGCAGGGATGAGGGTGGCATAAGAAGCATGTTGGGGAAATTAGGAGTATGAAGGCAGCAGCTGCAGATCTGACAATTCCACCAGCTTTAGGAAATCAAAGTTGGCAGAATTTTCTGTTTTTTAACTCATTCAGCTTTACTGGGCACCAAGCCTCTGATCCTCTGCCACTGCCTGCATCAGAACCTGCTCTGGGGAAAATTTAATGACCCAACTTAAGTGACAAATGTGTGGCCAGAATATTTCCCTTGGAATTTGTTCCAGATGGACCAAATCTTAGGCAAGAGGGATAATGCTGCCTCACACAAGGGGTGGAGGGAAGCTCTAAGATGCATTTGGGGGAAGATAGCAATGGCCCTTTTCTGTGCTGCTGCAGTCATTTCATGTAGCAGAAACCTATGCTTTTTGCTTATAAAGAAATTCCCTTGGACAGAACCACAGGGAACCAGGGCTCAGAAAACTGACAGACATGGGTAATTTTGGAATTGTCAGTTATGGGACCAGAGAAATCATGCATGCTTTCTTTCACTGCAGAGACCATGGGGTGGGTCCTAACTCTGATCAGTGAGAAGGTCATCGTTTTAAGACAAGACAGAGGAATCTTTTCTGATCAGGATCTTAGCTGTGGGCAGGGGATGGGAACTAATGGTGCCGGATCCTTGGAAGCGAGCGGGGGAGCACACTAGGCCAAGACTTTCCTCCAGTTGTGTTCCTGGGGTTCCACTCTCACCTGTCAAAGGAAAACATATAGTCACTCCTCCAAGTCATATGGCTGACTGATAGCATCCCATGGCCAGCTCTGGAAGCCCTCAGCCCTCAGTGCTGGATGATGAGGACTTACAGGAGGCAGGGGTAAGGAAGAGAGCAGCTTCCCATGAAAGTAGAACAGGGTAAAGTGAGCACTGGACTCCCTCATTTTTCCCATGGACAAGCTCAGCCCTTGAGGGGTGATGTCTTCGCTTTTTGCATTAATAGCACTCCCAATGTGCTGGATCTCTGAGCAAGAATCCTCAGAAAGACTTTTGGTGTTTTCTTCCATTTGCCCTTGGCCAAGCTGCCACGGATCTACTCCATCTTTTCTGGGCCTCCAGTTTAGGTTTTCATCACTTGATGACTCAGTTTTACAACACCCCTTGATTGTGCTTAGTTGCTCCCGCCTCTCCTCCCTTGGATCCCTGCTGCAGGCTAAGGCCATGGAATCTCCAAGTACAGCTGTGGCTGAGTCAACTGCACTTTATAACTGCACTCCAACTTCAGTGTTGGTCATTGCCTACTGAAAAAGCTCCAGTTCTACCCTCCTGGGGTGCATGTCACCATTGCACCCCAAATGGTTATTACTTTATAGCCAGGTAGCGAGTATACTGCACTTTGTTTTCAACACCTTTGCAGTTCTCCAACTGCTTTGTTTAAAGCTGCTATGAGTTCTATGTACCAGACACTCTTCTAGGATCTGGGGGCTTATCCTTGAACTCAATAAACAGTTTTCCTGACCTCAAGTGCAAGGTCTTTGTTCCTTTACCAATAAGTACACGGATGTGATATAATTTCCACTACTCTTTGTTGAACGTGGAACGAAAGTTTTCCTGACCTCAAGTACAAGGTCTTTGTTCCTTTCCCAGTAAGCACATGGATGTGATATAATTTCCACTACTCTTTGTTGAACGTGGAACGAAGACCTGATTGTTGGCTTCTCTCCTCTTTTCTTATCTCTTTCTTGTCTTTTCCTTCATTCTTCTCTTTTTCGCCCACTCTTCCACTCCACTGTCTCCTTTGTCTCCATCTTACATATGCAGGTTTTTGGTTATCATTTCCATGTCAGTAACTCTTCAAATCCACTTGTCTTGCTCACTTCTATATAATTTCATATTTCTGCCTCCTGACCAGATATCTCCAAGTAAATTTTCCAGCTTAGAAACAAAATCTATAAAATCCAATTTATCACCTTCCCCTTACCAGTGCTCTTCTCCTTCTAAGATTTATATTTGCATGAGCACAGTCACCTTCTTCCTGGTCATGCCCCATACACCCATATTTCACCCCCATATCACATCAGCCCCATGTTTCAATCAGGGCCAAGTTCTCTCAGGTCTGTCTTTTAAATTTCTCTGACATCAGTATTTTCTTCTCTTCCTCCTGCGAATGCAATTGACCAAGTAAAATCATGGGGGTTGCAGGTGCATATGATTGAAACAAAGAAAGGAAGGAAGATTATGGGCATTTGCAATGAGGTGATTTTAGAGTAAATCATCAAATCCAAACTGCATAGAGAGGGAGGTAAAGGCAAGCCTGGGCTGAAGGATAGAGGGGGAAGGACAAAGCTTTGGGATTTTTTTTTTTTTTTTCATTACTGGGAATCAAGCCCAAAACCTTCACACTGAGTGCATCCATGCATTTGAAAAATTTTTAATTTTGAGACAGAGTCTTATTAGGTCACTAAGCTTCCCAGGCTGGGCTCTAGTTTGCAATCCTGCCTCAGCCTTCCAGAGTGCTGGGATTACGGGCATGCACCACCATCCTCTGCTCAGCTTTTGGATTCTTGATGAGGTAAAAGCTGATTGTGGAGTCTGCAATTGAGCAGACAGAATGGAAGTGAAGCAGGTTGTAAGTAGAGCATGAAATGTTTGATTTTGTGCCAGGTGTCGTGGCACATGCCTGTAATCTCAGCACTTGGGAGGCTGAGGCAGGAGGACCAACGTGGGTTCAAGGCCAGGCAGGGCTACATAGTGAGATCCTGTCTCAAAAAAAGAAAAAGAAAAAGGGAAATGTTTGATTGTGTAAGTTTGATGTTGGTACAGTTTCTGTGGTCATGATGAAGTCTTGGGTATAAGACGGACATGTGTGGTTAAAATGTGTGAAAGAAAGAGATGAGTACATGGGGCCTGATGCTGGGAAGGTCTTCCACGTATGTTTTGGATAACTGCAATCATCTCTTTTCTAAGAAGTCTCTTTTATAGTTCCCCTTTCCAATTTATCTGACAGGCAATTTCAGCTATACTTTGAACCTTCTGACTTCCTACTACTATACACTGACCTAAAGATCAAACTTTAAAACTTTCCTTACATTCATTTAAACTTTACCATGGGTCAGGTAGCACACTAAATGCCTTACTATTGCATTTAACCCTTACTTCAACTCTATGAAGTAGAACTGCTGTCATTATCTCCATTTACAATCAAGGAAACGAAAGCAGAAAAAATGATTTGTGGAGGGAACTTAGCAAGAATGAAGTCAGTTTTCAAATTCAGTCATGTTCTTACTCACTGTCACGTTATTTAGCATCAGGACTTACCTTTTTAGCCTCTTCCCTCATTCTTGGAGGCAATTTCACACAGGCCCAAAATCAAGCAGCATGAGGGCTACAACTCACTGGAAATGTTGATAATTACCTGTGTGTTCATCATACAGATTCCCTCTTTGCTGTCTATCAAAACTCTATCACTCCCAGCATTCAGCATTTGGGAGGCTGAGGCAGGGGGACTGCCAGGAGTTTGAGGTCTGTCTGGGCTACATAAGTGAGTTTAAGACCAGCCTGCGCTCGATAGTGAGATCCTGTCTCAAAAAAAAAAAAAAAAAAAAAAAAAAATCCTATCACTAACTTCTCCCTGAGGTTCTCCTCCTTACCAACCCCAAATCCTGCCAAACATAGAGCCCCAGGACCTTCCCTTCCTCTGAACCCCCTTAGCATGTTATCCATACTCCTCCAATGTCCCTAGGAGCATCTCTTTTACAGTGAATTATACATATGCTCATCTCCACCATTAGAATGTTGCCTTTAGTGGGGGCAGAGGCTTACATTCTTTTCCTTTGGGTGGACTCAGGATGAGCTGTAAGACTGTAGGAAGTCAGTGCAGGTTTGTTCATAAACTGTGGGTTGCAAAAGAATGATGTGAGATATACATATCACTTCTCATATACATTCCAGAGGAAAATCTAGCAAGATGTATGCCAAGGCAATAACACTTCTGTCATGTGTATTTTCTACTCTTTTGCAATGATCACAGATTATCTGTGTAATCCCTATGCCTTTCCCCAAAAGAATAAAACCTGCTGTCTGGGTAGACTCTAGCAAAATCATTTACATATGTAAGGCCCAGCAAAGAACTTTCTAGAGCCATTTTAACCAGTCAAAAGAGCGTTTTATATAATTTCAGTACATTTTTCTGCTATTAAGGAAGGAGCTCTCAGAACTTTAGAAAATGTACCTCATAGGGGCTGGGGATTTAGCTCAGTAGCACAGCACTTGCCCGGCAAGCATGAGGTTGTGAGTTTGATTCCTGGTACCGGAAAAAAACAAAAAACAAAACAAAAGAAAAAACAAGAAAATGTACCTCATGGGGCAGCCCAGGGATGGGCATGGGCAAGGGTGGGGCAATGGCTGAGGGGCGGGCTGGACAGGCTTCTCTCAGTGCAGAGGCTCAGGACCCTGGTGACCCTTGCTTTTTCTCTTACAGCTCCTGTTGCCGGGACCTCTGGTAAGTTCCCTGCCCACCTCCTTTCCTCTGCCCAGCTCCGGCTTTCCTTCATCTGGTGCCCTGTTTGAAGATGCTCTGATAGTGCCAGCAACCAAGCTCCATAAGGTCAGGGCCAGGAAAGGGTCGCCACTCTCAGAAGATGCCCTGAGCACCCCTCCTTCCGGGCATGCAGGTGGTGGACAGCCATGATTCACAAGTGCTTTAGCCCTTCTGATTCTGTTATGGTGACACGTTACAAGCACTGTCACAAAAAGTAAGAATTCAGTCCTCTCAACTGCTTTCCACTCTAAATAAATAAAATCAAGTCTTTGAAAAAGTTGATCTCAAAGAAGTAGAATAGTAGTAAGGGTAGGGGAGGATGGAGAGAGGATTTTTAGTGGGTACAGGGGTACAGTTGAATAGGAGGGAAAACATAATCTTCTGTAGCACAGAAGGGTAACAACGGTAGACAACAGTTAATGGTGTATTTCAAAATAGCTAGGAGAGAGGATTTTTTCTTTTCTGTTGATATATGTGATATGCATAATTACATTCATTTTGAGGAATGAATATACATATAGTATTGTTGGGAGCCACTGCAGCAGGTCATTGGTTAAGTAGTTAAACTACCTCAGTACTGAAAAAGGAATCCTGCAAAGAAACAGTACCACAGTAATAGGTTCAATTCACCAACAACCTCTGACAGTTGCCAGCTAGACTGATAACTGACCACTGTTATGGACTTTGGACTATATTCGTCGAGCACAGCTTTTCTAGCTTCCATTAAACACCCATCACTTCTGCAACTAAACAGAAAAGGGAGATATGTTGGGAGCCACTGGAGCTGGTCATAGATCAGGCAGTCAAGCTACCTCAGTATTGAAAAAGGCATCTTGCAGGACAATTACAGTCGTTAGTCGCTAGGCAACATTACCCTCCCATGATGCGAACTTTGCAAGAGTATAAGTGCCTCTACTGTTGCAGTCAGTCCTCTTGCTCATCAGGCAAGAGGTAACTGCACCTGACCCCAGCTATTGTCTCTTGCCTTTATTTTCTACATCCTCTGTCACTGGTTTCTCCCGGGGACCATGGAGAGACCCTGACTCCCACATAGTATTCTTTTCGATCCCCTTAGTAGAGACAATTTTGAAAGTTCTCAAAAAATAAATGACAACCATTTATAGTGTATTGTAGATAATTACTTTGATCTGATTATTATAAATTATATACATATGTTAAAGAATTACATGTACCCCACAAATATGTACAGGTATTATGTGTCAAAGATTTTTTTTTAACTTCACTAGAAAAAAACCAAGAGCTTCCTCTCCAAGTAAAATTAAAAGCACATGCAAAATCACATGATCTGTGTAGATTGTTGCATGTGTTGACACATCCCTGTTCTACATGCATCCAAGAGTTTAAGTCCTGTCCCCCTGAAGTCCTGTCCCCAGGAAGACAAGGAGAGCTGTCTTCATGCTTTTGGTTGCATCATAGTGGACTGAGCTTTGCTGGGCACTTCTTTATCTGTACACTAAGTCTCTCCCCAACAGCTAGGACTGACCCTTGAGGTTTTCTCCCACTCCGTCCTTCTGAGGCCGCAGAGGGGTTGGCAGTGAGGCCTGGCGATTCTGACCTCCTTTCTAAGTGATGAAGGATGACATCAGGTCAGAGCAGAAATCTGCTGTCTGCCTCTCAGGGCCCACATCTCAACCAGATGCCCGTACTTGTCTCCAGCCAGCTCTGGAGAGGGTTTATCCAACTAGTGTTCAGATGCTTCAGTTTACAAGGGAAGAAAGGGAGCCCCAAAAGTGTATGTGTGTGCATGCACGTGACAGAGAGAGACAGAGACAGAGATGCAGTCACAGGACACACACAGAGAAGGAACTGTTAGGCTATTCCTTGGTACAGTAGAGATATTTCTAGGGAGTTTCCTTGCCGCTCTCCCCACCTCTCCCCCTCGACCTCTCCTGAGGAGGGTCATTCCTGCTCCCTGACAGTGTCCTTGGCCCTTGTGGTTGCCTTCAGCTGCAGAAGCCTTCTGGGCCTGGTTTCACTCTTGGTGTCCACAGTATGAACATACTCACTTCGTTGTCTGAGTTTTATGGCTGCTTAGACTCCTGTGGTTCCCCTTCCTCATGCAGCCTCCTCTGCTCGCCTCTCAGAAGACCTCCCGAAGGCCGTAGTGAGACGCGAACCCCCGTGGATCCAGGTGCTCCGGGAAGACCGCGTGACTCTGACCTGCGAGGGTGCCCGCAGCCCTGGGAACCACTCCACCCAGTGGCTCCACAATGGGAACCCTATCCCCGACCAGGTCCAGCCCAGCTACAGGTTCACAGCCAAGAGCAACGACAGCGGAGATTACAGGTGCCAGGCGGGAGGGACCAGCCTGAGCGACCCTGTGCATCTGGACGTGATTTCTGGTCAGTAGAGGATGGAGGGGCTGGGAAGACCAGGATAGGGGAACCTGCTGACACTGCAGATGATGGGAGGAAAGGAGGCTGGCCTGACTTCTGGGAAGCACCACCGCGACTTGCTTGAAGTAATTTTTGCTCACTCATTTCCTCACCCACTCTTTGGCTTCATATGTGTGGATGGGAGCGCGTTTCCTAAGAAATTCTTCGGCATGTATGAGTAGTGGTTTTTGTTTCAGTCCTGATTGAGCAAGAGGGTTCCAAGCCTACAGACAGGCAACTGGGTGTGAGAGAAGCAGAAGGAGGTCCCTATTTCATAAAAACCCTTTCACTGTCAAGTCAGGAGTGATGACTCAAGTCTATAATCCCAGCATTCTGGGAGGCTAAGGAAGGAGGACTGTAAATTTGAGGCCAGCCTGGGCAATTAAGCAGTTCAGCAAGATCCTGTCTCAGAATAAAAATTTAATAAAAAGGCTTGGGATGTAGCCCAGTGTTACGGCCCTAGATTCAATATCTGCCCCCCACCAAAAAACCCAACCATAAAGAGACCACAACTGAATAATCCTCAATCTAGAGATAACCAGCTGTATAAATACAATCAATTTATTTAATCCTTAAGTCTAAGTTCCCCCAGCTGTTCAGCAGAGTTACTAATGTGTCCTTCATAGAGCTTCGGGGAGAGCTGTCCCTTCCCTGATCTCCAGGCCTCTCGAGTCTTTCTTCATTTTTCTTTCCCACCAGTATATGGGCAACTTCAAGGGAGCACTGGGTCCTATCTATCTCTGCATTTCCCACATCTGGAATGGGGAAGGGTTTAGTCTGTGTTTGCCAAACAGACCAAGGATTTCATAAAGCTCCTGGCACTAAGTAGGTTCTATCATCATTTTCAGATGAAGAAAAGCCATCATCTGACTGTGACTACTGTTTCTGTTACTTTTCACTTGGTCCCACTCCTCACTTGATTCTCGAATTTTCCTTAAAAGTATACAGCTCAGCTGGGTGTGGTGGCACACACCTGTAACCCCAGCACTCGTGAGGCAGAGGCAGGAGGATCACTATGAGTTCAAGCCCTGTCTGGGCTACAGAGTGAGTTCAAGCCCTGCCTGAAATACAGAGTAAGACCCTATCTCAAAGAAAAAAAGTATACTGCAACCTCATGACTCATCTGTGACACTGCTGCCTTCAGACAAAGTCCCTGCTGAACAGAAGCTCCCCTTTCATTATCATTCATCAGTAAACCCACATCTGTTGGAGATTCAAGAGCTTCTACTATCCCCAAAACATATGTCTCTGCTTCATCCCCTCCATTTGTAGCCTCCTCATCCCACTGGGACTCAGCCCCAAGGAAGAGACTACCTCTCAGGTTCTCTTGCATGTTTCCTAACAGGACAGGAAGGCAGCTACCTTCTCCCAGGAAAGAAAAGAAAAGAAGAGTATCCTGAACACCCACTGTGTGCCAGGAACTTGTAAAACCATAGTATTATTGTGCCCATTTTCAAAGATGAGGAAACTGAGGCCCAGACAGTTAAATTACTAACCCAAGATTACAGAGCTCATAGATGAATGGAGCCAGAATTAGAAATCAAGATTCTAAACTTAGACTCTTCCCTCTGCACATCTTGTTCCACTAAACAGGATAGTCTCAGAGTTGAATGAAGGCCTCCTGAGTCTTGTGGTTCTTGTGTCTTTCAGACTGGCTGCTGCTCCAGACCCCTCAGCTGGTTTTCCAGGAGGGGGACGTCATCGTGCTGCGGTGCCACAGCTGGAATAACAAGCCTTTGGCAAAGGTCACATTCTACCAGAATGGAATAGCCAAGAAATTTTTCTCTCTCAGTAGAAATTTCTCCATCCCACAAGCAAACCACAGTAACAGTGGTGATTACCACTGCACAGGACATATAGGAAGGACGTCTCACTCATCACAGCCTGTGACCATCACTGTCCAAGGTACGGCAACTCTGTCAAAATGTAAGGACAAGAGAAGTGGTAATGGACAAGAACTAAGATCCTATAGGCCTGTACGGAGAGCTGAGAAATGACACAGAGCACTGGGGCCAAGAGGAGTTGTTGAAGCTTTGCCCAGGATGGGCCAGTGGGCAGGAGTAGGGGTCAGAGCTCACAGCCCTCTGATTCCAGGGCATAGAGGACAAGGCTGTGCCCCATTCCATGGCAGTAAAACAGAGCAGCCTCATTGACGCACAGCTTCCCCAAGCAACTGGACTTTCCTGAGTAAGGGTAGTGCCTTGTTTCTTGTCCTGTCTCATGGTATGGCTATTCACTCCTGGGGCCTGGGGAGCTCTTCCTATATATCCTGAGCAGTGAACTGGAGTGATGCCTCTGGCCAGGGCAGCTTCAGATCCCCTGCCTTGCTCCCCAGAGGGCTATCTCTGTGCTCCGTACACTCCCCAGTGTGCCTTTATTTGTATGGTAGAGAAACTTGGTTCTGGGAGAGGCACAAGCACAGCCATAGAAACCCTGTGTGGATGAGGTTGCAGGGGGAAGTGTTACACCTGTAAGTGACCAAGACACAGAACAGCTTGAGGACTGTGGCCCAACACTGGGGAGTGGGGAGTGGGAGGGGACAGGGAATGTACTTATCACCTGTCTTCAAATCTAGCTTCCCCAGAGCCCAAGTCAAGCAACTCAGCAGTGGTGATAATTGTGGCTGCGGTCATTGGGATTGCTACAGTGGCCGTTGTTGTTGCTGTAGCAGCCATGACCTACCTCAAGAAAAAACGGACTCCAGGTTAGTATCCCTCTTTGGTCCTGCTTGTTATAAGTTCCCACTTGGCTGAGACCCTAAGCTTAGACATTGCCAGGCTAGAGAATTCTTAGTATTCAGCTATAGCTCCATCTTTAGCTATTGATTGATTGATTGATTCTTCCATTCATTCATTCAACAAGGCTTGAACAAAAAGTCAAGCCCTATGGTAAACACTGAAAGTGATATCAAGATAAAAAAGCCCAGTCCCTTCCCTTAGGGAGTTCTCAGAATCATAGAGAAGACATACAAATGGATAATTATAAGATGGGTAAGAGCAATGTTAAGAGAAACAAAAAGGCTATGACAGGGACACAGAAGAGGCTCCCCGACGCAATGTGTTAGTCAGCTCTGTTACTATAACAAAATACCTTGTAAAATCAACTTATAAAGCAAAGAGGTTTATTTTGGGTTTTGGAGGTTCACAGTTTTGGAGGTTCCAGCCCTCAAACAGTTTGCCCCATTTCTTTAGCTTATGACTAGGCAGTGTATTATGGCAGGAGCACATCATGGGGCAAAACTGCTAACCTTATGGCCAGAAAACAAAGCCAGCGAAGAAGAGACCAGGGATCCCATAGTACTCTTCAATGGCATGACCCCAATGACATAAAGACCTCCCACTAAACCCCACCTCTTAAAGGTCCCACCATCTCCCAATATCACCACCCTGGGAACCAAGTGTTTAACACAAGGGCCTTTGAGGGACATTTAAGACACAAACTAAACATGCAGACTGGACCAAGCCAGTTAAAGGTTTCATGGGAAGGCAGTGTACTATAGTGATAGAAAAACACAAAGTAGGGCCCTACTGCTGGTGTTCAAATCTCAGTTCATGGCTCATCAACTGTATGACCTTGGGTGAGTTGCTCAATCTTTCTGTGCCTCAGTGTCCTCATCTGGAAAATGGTGACACTCATAGGATCTACCTCATAGGATTGTTGTGATAATGAATGAGGCTGCAGCTCTTAGAACAGTTGCCTAGCTGATAGTAGACAGCACAAAAATCTGAGCTGTTACCACTATGGAGGAGATGATGTTTGGGGAGCAATTAGCTACATAAAGATGATTGGAAGAACATTCTAGGCACAGAGGCATGCGAGTGAGGAATGAGAGAATAATACTACTAATACCTCACAAAGCATTTGCTGCTGGTTTGTAGGGAGGGCCTCAGTTGCTGATGATAAGTAAATATTGAAACACTGACATACTCAGAGTAAGAGGTCTCTTTTAAAAGGCAGAGGAAGCCTAAGAAAGAAAGTTGCCTTTCTGCTATCATAGGGTTTGTTGACTTTTGTCTTTCTGGACCAGCCCTTTCCTGGACAGGGGAGCTGGGGAGGTGGGAGGAGAGGAGGCCTCTGTGTGAGGGAAGGGCCTCTGTCGGTTCTAACCCAATCCTACCCCTGATCCTTGGTGCTGAGGACTCAGGCCCCACCCCATAATCCTACTAACCTCCTGTGTGCCCCTCCCAGCTCTCCCAGGAAACCCTGAGCACAGGGAAATGGGAGAAACCCTACCCGAGGAACTAGGTGAGTACAGCGTTCCCTCTGGGGGCTCAGTGATGACTTGTCCAGGGCTGCCAGATGGATCGGAGCCAGCAAGAAGTGACTTGTGTGAGTCTGGCTGGAGCACGTGAGAGGGAGGGGGTGGGGGAGGAGGGTGGGGCTCAAATCACTTGGTCAGTTCTGAGTCTAATTCCTGGGCCTGAGGAGGATCTCACGGGAGTTAAGAAAAGTAACATTGGTTCCAAATTGAGAAGGGAGAGCTGCACCCACATTTTTGAGCCTAAGAATATGGTGACATTTTCAAAGCAGTAAATCACAGAAATTTGGATCTTTTTGTGGAGATTTGCCAGATCTGGCCAAAAAAAAACCCAAAAAACAAAAAACAAAAAAACAGGGGTCCGAAGCTATAAGAAGGCCAATAGAATTAAAGAGGTAGGAGTCTAAGAGGACAGGGGAAGGAGTCCTGAGGAAAACACTTAGATTTGTTGAGGCATGTGTCCCTGTGGAGAGATGGAGGTAAGGCGTGGAAGAAGCCAACTAGGTAGAAAATTAGGAGGACATTTGGGCTTGAGAAAATTTGGGGGACTACGGCTAGTAGTGGGTTTTGTTTTGGGTACAAAACTTGGTTCTGATGCCTTCTGTGTCAGTTTATTAGATACTGGCTTGGTTCTGCCACCATGATATGGTAAAATCTTACCGCGTTCAGTCACCTCAGTGAGGAAGGGATTGGGTTGGTCTAAACCAACGATGGCAAACCTTTTAGAGACAAGTGCCCAAACTGCAACTCAAAACCCACTTATTTATTAGAAAGTGCAAACATGGCCATTAAACCTGAATACTGAGGTTTTAGTTTAGAAAAAAAACTTGTACATGAACATTTTTTGTCTTAAAAGCAGATAACACATGTACTGTAAATTTGCCACCACTGTAGATGATCCCTGAGCCCTGGTGTGAAAACCAGTGAACATCCAACCCCTATCTCAGGTGGTAGTGTATAAGAAGAGCAGAATTCCAGAGCATTTCCTAACCATTGTCAAAGTCAGAGCACAAGGAAATTGCAGCTTTCTCTGGGGTCTTCCCTGGCAGTGGATCAGACAGGAAAAAGAGGCCCTTGGAGATTCTACCTCATATGGCTGGAATATGACTTAGAGCAGAGCCAACGGACTTGAGAGCTTGAGCAAACTGTAGCTCCCCTGGCTGTGCTTTGAGCTGGCTCCAGTGTTTCTTGGCCAGGTCATGTGGGGACACCAAACCAGATCTAAGAAAAAGTCCAAACACAACTGGATGGTAAATTTACAACCTTGTTGTGTGCCTCTGCCTACACTGGCATAAACACATTTCACTGGAAGTGATGGTTTCCCAAGAGACACAGTAAGTCATTGAGGAATGCTTTAGAAGGGGGACTCCAAGCATGGTTTGTTGCCAAGTTAGGAACGTGGAAAATAGGACTCTTTGTGTCCAGGAAATGAGGAAAGAGACTAGAAGCATTGTCTCAGACTCCTCCCTGCCTTCCTGGGAAATGCAGATTCACAGATACTGAGGCTGCTTTTCATTCTGGCAAAGTGATTTATGGCAAAAACATGAGGGAGTTTGGCGTTTTGGGTATTTCTCAGAGAAAGTTGTTTACCTTTCTCTCTCTTTCTTTCTCTCCTCCCTTCCTCCTTTCCTCCTTTCCTCCTTTCCTTCCTTCCTTGTCTTTTCTGCCTTCCTGCTCTTCACCTATATTCTTTCTCTTCTTTGTTGTCTTTCTTTCTTTCTTTCTTTCTCTTCATTGTTGTCTTTCTTTCTTTCTTTCTTTCTCTTCGTTGTTGTCTTTCTTTCTTTCTGATGCCACGAAGTACCTGATTCTTCACACTTTCAACCAAGATGCACTGCATTTGGCCAATGTGGAAATGGTGGTTGCTCTTCCCTCCCTGAAGCCTGTGGCCAGCAAAAAATCTGGACTTTATTTTACTTTAATACTGAATACTCCCCACCTCTTCCCCAATCCTTCAGATCCCCAAAGCTGCCTGGTTTGCTTCTAGAAAATCTCATCGATCTTCTCAAAATAATGTGGCACAAATCACTGCTTCCCTTTGTCACTGTGGCCAGGGAGAGGCTGAGGCTGGACAATGTCAGCCTGCATGACTGAGGCCACACTGACCTGGTGCTTGGCCTGCAGGCTTGAGCTGGGATCAGCATCCTTTGCTTCGGGCCTGGTGTGAACTTTGGTTTTGCAGCCTCAGTGGCAGTACAGTGCACCTTCTGTTCCATGGGTGCTGGGGCTGATCTCTCTTCTTTTTGCCCATAGTCAATCTCTCTGATCCTGAGGAAGCTGTTAAATCTGAGGTGAGCAATCCCAGACATCTCCTTGTCCTCTCAACTCCCTTCTCCCCTGCTTTGTCTTTCCCAAGATCTTTCCTTGGATGCACAGCATGTTTCTGCTTTCTCTAGGCTGAGAATACAATCACCTATTCACTTCTCAAGCACCCGGAAACTCAAGAGGATGAAACAGACCACGATTATCAGAACCACATTTAACCTCCATTATCTGGCCCTGGGATTTGCGGGGAGAAAAATCAGAGAAGTGAGGATCTCCTATCTCCTGGCCTAAGGTCCTCTTGGAGAGGTTGAGAGGATGCTGCAGTTCCAAAGAGGGAGCTGGATTCTTCCAGAGTTCTGTATGTGAGTTCTGAAGTTCTTTGGCCTGACACCAACAGGAAATATGGCCCCTGATGGCTAACTGATTCTGTGCCTCAGCACTTCCCAAAATTAAGACTCTATTACACAGCCTCCCAGCTAATGTAATTAATAAAATTAATATTGCTAAGATTTTAACAACGTGAGACATGCTTATATTATGGGTAACATTAAAAAATTACATAAGTATATATGATTTCAGAAATGATAAAATCAACTAACATATACCAACATATTAAAAATGATTGTTTCAGGGTGATGGAATTATCAGTGATTTTTATTCTCTTTGTTATTTTCCTATAAAGATCATGCACTGTATTTATAATAAAATATTATGAAAGCAACATTCTGTTTACCTATTCAAGACTGTATGCACTGTCTTGTAGAATGAGTTCTCTGGGGGGTCTCTCTCTCTCTTTGGTAAGAAGAATCCATGGAAGATAGTAATGGACAGGAGAGGAGAAATGGGGATTTGGACTATAGGGTCAATGTCCCACTTCTTAAAACTGAATTCTCTTCCGTTGTACTTGTATGCTTGTTTCCATGTCTTCATCCATTTTCTCCTATGGCAAACAAAACAAGTACTTTTTTTTGCATCACAAGTTCTTAGGAAATTAAACCTCAGATGAACCCTCAGTGGAGAGTGCTGACTTCCTGTTCTGCTATTTACTACTATGGTAGTTACTAGAAGGTTGTGACCTTAGAGAAGCCATCCCTACAGGTTACCAATATGACTGCAGCATCATTGTGGATTTGGTGAGTGACCTTGAAATAGCTTCATTTTCTGTGCATTATCACTGTATCATTGTGAAACATTTTTCTTGCATTTAGGACTTTTTCAACTTCCTTTGTTGGGTAGTTATCTTAATTACTTTCTCATTGCTGGGACAAAATATCTGACACTCACAGGTTAAAGGAGGAAAGGTTTATTTTAGCTCATAGTTTGTAAAGGTTCAATCCATAGCCTACTGGCCCTGAGGTAGGGCAGAATGACAGAAGGGCAGGGCAGAGGAGAAACAGTCCATGGCATGGCAAGCAGGAAGCAGCAAGCAACAGTAAACCTTTCTTTAAAAAAAAAA